ACTCCTTATTTTTTCATTGTTGCTCACCCCCTTAGTAAAAATTTCTTTCTCTTGCCAGCCTTCTGCTTCCATTAAAATCAAAGATGACCGTCATAATTTTCTCTAACAAAACACTGAGCACTCGCTCACCAATTTTACACCTGCAAGCTAATCAGATACAAACTCACCTGACCCTTGTGAAAATAATTGGGCAGGTACTTCATGGCATTTGTCCTGATAACATGAACATTCTGGTATTGCCCTGGATTTGCTTCTCTTAATGCCATCACTCTATCACTCACATAGTCACTGACCTAAATAAAGTTGTTGCAAGGCAGCATTATCCAAAGTCCAAGTGATGCACGGAAATAAGAATCCTAACACAGGTGAGCTGTGGTTACTCAGAGAAACATATCTACTCACATAGTCACTGACCTAGGTAAAGGTACTATTTGGTAGCATTATCCAAAGCCCAAGTGATGTACAGAAATAGAAATCCTAACACAGGTAAGCTGTGGTTACTCAGGGAAACATATCTACTCACAAAGTCACTGACCTAGGAAAAGGTGTTATTTGGTAGCATTATCCAAAGCCCAAGTGATGTACAGAAATAGAAATCCTAACACAGGTAAGCTGTGGTTACTCAGGGAAACATATCTACTCACAAAGTCACTGACCAAGGAAAAGGTGTTATTTGGTAGCATTATCCATAGTGCAAGTGATGCACAGAAATTAGAATCCTAGCACAGGTAAGCTGTTGTTACTCAGGGATATATATCCATCTGTCTTTCTTTTTTTCCCATTATTTGGTAAGTGTTAACACCCTCAAAAATTTCTTTTGGGATGTGACATTATAATTTCACCTTTGTTTATTCAGGTCATCAAAAGCACATCATCCAATAATCAATTAAAATATTTATAACTGCTCTGTTGATTCATCAAACAATGCTTTTAATACACAATAAAAATGATGTTTCTCACACCATACCTATTCATAAGAACAATTCCTTAAAGTCCCTATTCACCCTCAGAGGTTTATATATATTTCGATTCTTTGTGTTATCAGGATTAATCTCCAAAAAAAATTTTTTTTGATTGATTAAATATTTCCCGAGATATGCCACCTCAAAGTTCATCCTTTGGCCATGCCCTTTTGAATTGGCCTGGCTAAGTTAATACTGGTAACTAAAAGTCCCTCATGACGTCACAGCAAGAATGTCTAAGTTCGATTGATGCGCCTACATTCACTTGAATATGCCTTTAGACGAATCTGGTGTATTTGAGCAACCAGCGACCATGCCACGAGTTGGCATTTTCACATCATTTTACAGCAATAGACACATGTTCTTAGAAAAGAAGTTAACATTCGTTCTTGTTGTGAGGTCACTCGGCCCAGTAATTCTCTCCCGGCCAAGTCAAAAGGGCACAGCCAAAAGAGTAACTTTGAGGCGGCATATCTCGGGAAATATTTTATCAATCGCAAAAATTTTTTTTGAAGATTAATCCTGATAATGCAAAGAATCGAAATATATATAAACCTCTGAGGCTGAATAGGGACTTTAAAACAGTCACTTCTCTTTAAAGGCAAGTTTGATAGGCAAGTTGGTATAACATAAATGCCCCTAAGAGCAGTTTTAGCTCTAAAATACACTGTGCAAGTTCAGAATAAAAAAAATCTCTTAAAAAACCTTTGATTCCCACCTTCAGTCTTATTTCCATTCCAACCATTAGTGTATCTGGAAACATGGGAGATAAATCCACTACAAAAACAAGAAAGTATTACAAAAATATCAATGAGACTTGATAGATCTCCTAAAGACTGCTCTGAAATATAACTGTCTAAGGTTGTTACTGTAGATTTCAGATGCATTGGCAACACCAACAACCTTTTGTTTGTTTATAATATTAAACAAATCCATATTGCTGTGGGCCTGTACTGTTATAGATTGCCAAAGACATCAAAATGTTATAACAACAGCAGTGGCACACTAGACTGAGCATTATGTGCCACTCTTTTGTTCTTAACACATTTTGGCATCATCTATGATCTATTACAGAAAAGACAAATGGCAGCATGGACTCTATTTGTTAAAGTGATCATATTAACCTAATAAGCCACCATATCCACATCCAATGTCTGCAAATTCAACTCTTGAGGTTTTCCTGACTGCATGTGCTCCATTATCACCTTTTTCATGAAAGAAAGCCGGAAATAGAGCTCTCCAATCCATTGCATCTGGAGATACAGGACTGTAAGAAGACCAAAACCCATCAAATTCAATATTCAGGAAATGAAGCATACAGTTGTATTAATTAATTAGCCAAAATCAAGATACTTTATACTGCTTCAAAATATGTTTGGCATAACATGTGAAGGAAACTAAGCGTGTGGAATAATAAGCTGCAAAAGGCTTACTGTGATTAATTAGCAAAACAAACTGAAATAAAAATCTGTAAATTGCAAAATGAACCCAAAATCAATGAAAATCTGTAATTTGCATAAATGGAATCTTGCCTGTTTTGTTAGCAAATATATAGTAAGCACTGTGAGACCACATAATTCCCATAAAGAAACATTAAGATTTGAGGTCTTTCATTTTTTATCCACAAATTACTGTTCATAGATTTGGTTAATTAACTCTTTACTCAAAGATAGAAGACAAATTGCAGTGGTTCTCCAGTAAGGAAAAGGTAATGGCGAACAAACTCATATTTTGTCCCCACCAAAATAATACACCCCCCTCCTGACGCTACAGGATAGCCTAACACTTATCTGGGAAAGATTTCCGTATAACCCCATACCAATCAAAAACAAAGCCGTAGTCCCAAAGGAAATCTGTTGTTTTGCCTCTGCTTTCCATTTATCCAAGAACTGAATGCATAATGAAGTATGAGGTTATACGGAAATCTTGCCCTTATCTGCATCGCACGGAATGAAAATAGTTACTACTGTTATTGTTGTAGACGGGTCCGCACCTAGATATTTAAAACTTAATTATTAAGTACCCCTTCCACATGCCATGTAACGTACTAAATAAAATTAGTGATAAAAAATTGGCTCGGTATCCGGCATCTATTCTGACTTTACTTTTTCTCGAAAAATTGATCATCGTAACTCTCTCGATATTTTATACTCACTATTCAAGAGTGTGATCGGCCATGGGATTTGCATGAGCTCTTTGCCGGTAATACTTCTTCTGCGGAAGTGCCGCCATCTTTGATCATCAAAACACTTGTCTCCCACAATCCATTGCAAAGTAAACAAAACAAAACAAAGAAACCATAGTACTTTGCAGTTTTTACGTGTTTCTAAATCCAACATGGCGACGCTAGGCGACGAAGATAAAAGTAGTTCTGCTTCAAGCGAAGAGAGCCGTTCATCGAGTTGGTATCTCGTACAGGTGGGTTAGTGGTATATATAGGAAAAATGAACTCTTCAATTATTTTCGAAATGGTTTTTTCTGAATTAGTGCCTACTGTTGTAAAAATCATCTACGAAAAACAAAAACAGTAAGGACCAATAATTATACGATTAGCGCAACGATTACATATCACGTAAGCCAGGTACAGTGTAAATCTTGATAGAAATATTATCAAATTGTGTATATCACTTGGGATGCTTTCTGTTGAATCGAGTTTGTATTCTTAAATCCATCATGATTAAATCTCAATAATTATCCAACATAAAACTGTTATCCTCTATCCTCCCTCCCAGGTCCAGTCATGAAACTCCCCCCCTCCCCCCATTGCATCGTCAAAAAATTATTTAAAGCCCTATCTCTAGTGAATGGTGCAAAAGGTTACTTCTTTTACACCTGTCTTTTGTGACACTTCTGTAGAAACCACAAACACTCCCATCTTGCAAGTTTGAATCAATTTTTCAAGGGAGACTAATTTTGCAATGGATGTAAGGTATAGAGAATACCACCAGATATTCTGCTGGGGTAGATTTGGCTGTGTGGTGCCTTTGACCAATAACATGCAAGCAAACAGTTATATTTGATGCAGTTTGCATGCTTATGCCATTACAGGATAACTCCTCTGCAGTAATTGATATTGCAAATACAGATGACCTGCAATCCGAACCGGGAAATGGGGAAAGGTTTGTTTGTTTTTTTACTACTAGTACTTTTTACAGCATTGTTAAGATAAATTGTGAAACATTTATCCTTTATGTTTCCTTTACCAGGACACAAATAGAACTTTTGATAGTAATTTTTAGTGGAGAGAATTAATTGTTTGAGTAAGGCTGCTAAGTTGAGAGAGTTGTAACAGATTTCAATATTTTTTATCACAATTGAGGTAATGTTACAATCTGATTGGTCAACTTGCCATTGTCGATACTAGCACAGGCTGCTTGCATCAGCCTTTCATGCGGCTGTCATGCACTGAAAGAATTGTTCTATTTGATGGTGATATTATGGTGTAAAACAGATCAATAATGGTTTGGCATTGTTTATTCTCTTATCTCTGCTGTAATGACAATATTTGTCATCACTGAGGTCAAAATTTGTAGCAGACTTTGCCTGCTTTGCCTCGTGAGTCTATAATGTTTTGACCACTTTGATGACGAAGATTGCTTGTGATAAGAGTACAGACCACACTACACCACTGTTGATTTGTTGAATGGCTAATCTTTACATCTGTGCTTTACCATACATTTGTCTCCTTAGTCATGAAGGGAGTCCAAGTCGACAAGGAATATCAGAGACGGAGTTTATGGAGAGGATCAGAGAGAGAATGGCACAGGAAGTTGGAGGATATGTAAGGAAATAAGTGCACAGAAATAATTGTAGAGCATTTTGCAAGTGAATGTTGTAAAACCTTGAGATTTATGGCAATAAACACCATAATGAGCTCATAAATACTCCATGTTAAAATACTCTAAATGGTATTTTTTTTTTTTTTTTTTTTGCCCCACTTCAACGCGAACGGACTAGTGTGTATTAGGGAAAGTGCACAGAAATAATTGTAGAGCATTTTGCAAGTGAATGTTGTAAAACCTTGAGATTTATGGCAATAAACACCATAATGAGCTCATAAATACTCCATGTTAAAATACTCTAAATGGTTTTTTTTTTTTTTTTTACAGTAATGAGTTTAATTTGTATTTTTATAGGTTTGGCAGGCTGGAAAACAATCAGCTAAAAGAGCATTTGATCTGTATGCAAACATTGATATACTAAGGCCATACTTTGATGTTGAACCCATTGAAGTCCGAAATCGGTGAGTTGTAATTACTGGTAGATTTACCTGTAATTGGTGAGTGATTTTATGGAATTAGTATGCCCCATGCACTGTACTGTATAATGGAGATATTCCTCTAAACTACTATGGACTCCACAGCAAAATATTAATATCTTCTTTACTTTTATTACATAAGTGGAAAAAGAATAATTTGACATTAAAATGGCCCCATTTGGTCAAATCTGTTGGCCCAGAAGAATTATTTTAGCCATCATATTTTTCTTGAATTTATATAGTATGTTACAGTGTATGTTTTCTTTTCTAGGTTGCTCCATTCACTGATACCAAAGTTGCCCTCCACAGCATCTCCTCAGGTACTAAAATAGTGGATACATAATTAACAAAAAAAGTGAATGTGATTAATAGTAACTGTTTTGTCTTAGACATAGAACATATATACAGTAACTGTAATTCCATTTGGGTTCATAAACCTTCTCAGAGTCACAGTCAGTGTAGTATCATTTCCCACACTTTGATATGGTCTTTTCCCACTTTCACCCTCCCCTCCCCCCTATAAATGGCTGCTTCTAAGTGAAACATTAATGTTTCCCTTCATATATTCAACCTGAGAGTGGCTTTTATTTTTCTGTTTACAAACGATCCCATCTCAAGTGGTCCAGTCTTGCTTATGCTTTATCAGTGATGCTAAGTAGTCAGACTGGAAAAAATTCATGCAGGAAACTTAGTTAACTTTATTTATTTGGTTATGCATTCAACCTTAAGTAAGTCTCCACTTTGAAAATAAGCACCCCCTGTAGGTAGGAACAGTTAATGAGAGGTCAGCCCCCTCCCTCCATTAAAAAAACTTTAGTGCACATAAGGAGTGTATATTTAAGTGTTTCTCTACTATTATAATCTCTAAATTCACTCATTATTCTGTCTTTGGTACATCTTCATGCCTTGTTGCTAGGTGTTGTTATGTTGCAAAATAAAGTTACCATTAAGGATGATGTATTCATTGAATGATATCTGAGAAAAAAATTCCAAGTGCTTCTCAATAGGAGTTTAATTAACCTAGGACCTTCTGATTAGTACTTCATATGCTCTACCACTTACCAGTGGTTGGCTTGGCCATTTAACCAGTTCCATGGTGACAAACTTCCCACATACTGCAAGGATAAATATGTCAAATGTGATGCTTTTGCACAATAAAGTAAATGTGAAGCCTGGTGATCTAAAGTAAAGAAGATGTACTCAGTGAGTGACACAGGCATCCTTGGAGAAAAAGAACTCTGAGTGCAATTTGCTGGAATTGGTCAAAATCTGATAAGTGCCTTTACCTTGAATGAGCAACCAAATTGAATGAGCAGCCACTCTCAAGGTCCAAAAATTAAATAACCACCCAGGGCACTTAACTGAAGGAACCTGGTATAACTTATAAGTATAAATTTCATGAAAGGTGATTTGCTTTTTTAAAAAAAACAAAATACAGCTTGTGATGCAATACCATGGAATTGCCCCACATGGGCAACAAAATGAAAGGAATGTGGTTCCAATTTATGCAGTTGTGCATGGGGTAGAACTTGTCCAATGGAATTTGATGTGAAGAAATAACAGTTGTGTAGGAGACTTTTGTTCATCATGGCAAACACCAATGCACTCTGATTTGTTTCTTTAGATAGTTGTAGGTGAGTTGTACGGACCACTGATGTTGGTGTTCACCCTGATTGCCATTCTTCTCTTCAGTATGAAAACATCAGGACACACAGTGGTAAGATAAATCCTAATATTTTGCCTGTTGTTCTCTGCAATTGAAATAACTGATTAATTTTGTTGTTGCTATGATACTGGAAACTGTACCCAGCTCTGTTGAGGCTCCTCATCTCAAACTTGTGGAACAGACCTTAAGCCTTCAAAAAAAAATTGTAGCTAGACTTCTGCAGAATTGCACACTCTGAATCTCTTGCAAGCCAAGGATTTTTTTCAAACTTTATATTTGGTTGTATATTTTATTGAAGCTTAAATTTTTAAATGGACACAAGTGGTCCCCATACTCTTTGTGCAGAAACAGCTCCTTTTGCACGCAGTTGTTCTATAATTTCATTTTTGCTTAGAATAGTTCCACATTTTGCCTTTTGAGTAACGAATCAGGCCATTGTCTGGGTGATATCCATGACATATTTATTGTTACATTATAAAACAGAGGGTAGCCACTGGCTATTCCAAATTGACTTCAGATCATCCACAGAGCCAAAAGGTTCATCTGATATTGTTAATTTTTGTGAACAGTGTCACAAGTGCTGCTTGCCAACATCAGAAATTAAAACATTTATCAAGGTTGAACATTCCACTTGAAAATAAATTCTGAGGTCCATTTTGTATGAAATCACAGTATTAGTTGGACTTTCTTTTTTTCAAATAATTGGCATCTAAGTCTTGAGGAAGTTTCTTCTACAGTGTTTTAAATTATTTTGTAATGTCTTCAACTGGCTGTTTTTAGCAAGAGGGAACACTCATGGGTACAGCTTTTGGCGTTTGTTTTGGATACTGGCTTGGTGGTGCTGGAATGTTCTATGCAGTGGCTTTCATGAGCAGCACCCATCTCACCTTTCTCCAGATTCTTTCTTTATCAGTGAGTATTCACGCCCTTTCAGCCAGAAGAGGGATTAGCAGCTAATTTCTCCCAATAGTTTTACCCTTTGAAACAAAAGAAATTCATATTAAGGTCTTGGGAATTGTTATGAAAAATTGTATTGTGTGGCTAGCATTACCTTCTAGAAGCTTCGCAAGAGGTCATAGTTTGTTCAATCTAGTGTCTTACATAAGCATTTCTCAAGTACTTAGTACATTTTGTAATCTTTCTATAATTAGACTATTTAGAAAGTTTTAGAATTTTGTTGGGTAGTTATACTGGTATGCAAGTCCAAGCGAAGTTTTTAACTAGTTTTCACAAGCGAAGAGAGTTTAAGTTTAGTCAAGTGTGACAGAAGCAGTGTTTATTGAAGTTGGCGGAGGCCATGTGAGTTTATCAAGTTAAGTCCAGTTGGCGGAGGTCGTGTATGTTTATCGAATTACGTGCTGTTGTAGAGTTTTATTTCATAGAAACTACGTTCATTTTTGGAATAAATCTTGTCGTTGCTGTTCCGACAACCCTGAGTTCAGTCTGGTCTGCAAACTACCCATTCTCTAAAAGATTACCTGCGTAACAGGAATAGCAAATATGATCGCAAACTCAAGAAGCTCTTGATTGTTAAACAAATTCTTGTTCTAAGCACTATAGAAAATGTGTATAGAACAGTATGGAGAATATGGACAATGATGTTGGGTGTAAAGTTTAAAAAACCTCTGAGCAAATATTTTTTTAAATGTATACTAACCCCTTGTGTCCTGTTTTTTGCGCACACTTTTTCCTTCAAAATAACACTATTACCGAAGTCTTGTAAAGCATCAGAAGAGAGATCTCCAGAGTTAGACAGTTAATGAAATCATCCAAATTGGTTGAAGAAACTATGCCATGAATAGAGTAGGAAGGATGAATTTAAACCAGCTCCCTGATCCTTTTTATCTGTTTTTTATCTTTTATTTTAGGGGTATGCTTTGTTTGGAAATGTGGTGTGTCTTTTTCTAACAACTGTTGGCTATCACCATTCCCACTCTTTTTTTTATGCTCTGTGGTTGGTGTTTGGAGGTTTATCGGCAGCCAGATTGGTGAGTGTTGGTATCCTAGGTATTAACAGTGCAATTATTGCCTGGTTGGTTTTCTGTTTTGTTTTGTTGTTGTTGTTTTTTTTTTCACATTAGTTGTTATGCTTAAGAGAGCAATGCCAGGAATGTAAATCTCAAATCCAGTGTAGCCTTTATAATAATAATTATAATAATCAGTTTAATCACTCTTTTTGTAGCTTACAGCTAAATTACAAGAGTGGTCAGGTTACAAATCATATCTATACAATAACATGAAACATTTAACTAAGAATATCTATCTGTAATAAATTTATCGAGACGGTTAGTAAAAGCCATCGCAGGATCATCTCTAAGAGTGCCTGAGTGTAGATTGTATCCACGGGACACAGTTGTGTGATGTGGCAGCCAGTTAGCAAGGACACCAGTGTCCCGAACTCTCTGGATAAACTTAGTGCATGCAGCAGCACGCCGATCAGAGAGAGTGTAAAGACCACACAGCACAAGTGCATCCCTGTAGGGAAGCCCAGGAAAGATTATTTCTAAGGCTTTTATCTGCACACTCTCAATTAGGAGGCTAAGATAATCAGGCAGGTTTGCCCAAACTGGGGAGGCATACTCCAACACTGAACAAATCAGGCTGGAATACACCATAACCAACTCCCTTTCCAAAACACCTGACTTCTTAAGACAACACAGTGCGAACAGGCATTTGCAAGCTCTCTGAACAATGTACTCACAGTGCGTATTCCAGCATAAATTATCAGTAACGTACACCCCAAGCAACTTGTACTTGTGGACACGCTCTATTTCAGACCCAGAAAGCTGTAAAGAAGGAGGATGGTGCAGCTTATAGTGCAAGAAGTCGATAAACATCTCCCTGCACATCACAGGGTTAAAGGCGCATGCCATGCTCACTAGCATAAGTGTAAATATCTCTTGCAATGAATGGAAGAACACTAGTGGAACACCTAGGTATAATCTCTACAACTGAAAGGTCGTCAACATATTTAGCCCTGATCTTCCATTGCCTGGCCAGGTTATTTACAAGTACTGCAAACAGCAAGGGGGCCAATTTGTTCCCTTGGGGAATACCACCCGTAGGTGGTAGATTTAGATTTAAATGTATCTCTTCTGGGGCTTTGTCTCGTGAGGAGGTGCACTAGAAAAGGTGTTTGCCAAGTGAGGAAATGTACTAGGTAGCCTGAATAACTGTAGGAGGGTGTTTTAGAACCTAGATTGCTAAAGCTCATGTGTAACTATTCCAGCATGGACATGGATGCTTGTCCATTGCAAGGAACACTGTAGTACATGTAGAAGTGTACAAATCATAATAACAGCTTTTGTAATAGGGCTTATGTTCAGCAGAAATTATTGTAATAGTCTGCCTAGAGAGTCAAAACCATTGTTGCTAATTTATTACATGACTTGGGCAGTCAGAGGGCTAATAACTAAAATCAACCAATCAAAATGCTGTATTGCCGGTCCAATATTCTCTAAGTATTAGACCGGGCACTGTCCCAAATGGTCCCAAATGATACCTCACTTGTGTCCCTTTGAACTTCAGTCGTATAATAAATCTCTTATTAACCAAGCTTGCTTGGGACCGTACTGGAAGAATATTGGCCCTTGCTCTTTTTTGTACGGACCTCGCTGCGCTCGGTCTGTACTGTCTAGACCTCGGGCCGATATTTTCCCAGTATGGCCCTCGCGCTTGGTTAATAAGATATATGTATTGCTAGGTATTTCCCCCAAAGGTCTTTCATGCAGCATCATCTATCCAAGGCCTTAAGGGTGCTTTTGCCTCACCCCATGCTCCTTTGAGTTGAAATACCAATATCAGTTCTTGGCTGGAATGTTTGAGGGGGTGTTAACCTAACCTGATGTTGCTGATGGTTTCAATGGTCATGTAGTACGTAAAACTAAACACTAAGTTTTAACATCTTGTTACTTAAATTTAGTTTTAACAAATGTTTGTGATTCAGACAATATATCTGATTTACTCTTTGTTTAATGATAGTTTGTGTATTGGCTCATTTCTGCTAAAAATTTTGACTTTTTTTTCTACAGGTGACCGTTTTTATGAGTCGTACTTTCAATCGCCGTCAGGGCCTGATTGCTGGTTGTGTGGTAGCTGGGGTTCATTTACTGTTTTTGCTGTATCTCCACTTTGCATATCATAGTGTTTATGAAGGTCAGTGTTAACTCATAACCAAAACACCCACACTAACAAATTAGTGGACAACTAACATACAGTGTGCTATTAGCCAGCTGCTGGTTGACTTTCAGCTCAGTGGTGCTACAAAATCGCATCAGTGAAAGTCCAAACTATTGCACTTTTTATGTTACCTGACAACTGTACACAGTGCCTTTTTACCTAATGCCACACAAATTCCAGCTAAGTTCCAGGGTAGATGTATTTAATTTGTGTAAAATTGACTTCCAGAATCACCTGATATGATCTTGTCTCGTCACTCAAGAGAGGTAATAACCACACCCCTGCGCGATATGGTACCGTCTGTGGCTCAGTTCACAAGAAGTATTGGAAGTGATCAAGTGATAGATGCCATTACTAGAGTCAAAAGAAGCATAAATGAGAGTAAGTCTTTGATAAATATATAAATGTTTTGGAAATCAAACAAATGTTAAGTTAAAAAAAATAATAAGCTATCTCTGTCTACAGACTAGACTGTCTTTGTTAATTAAATTTTTGGCTGTAAAAAAAACTGTAAGGTCAATGTAAAAGAACCACATTTGGGTTCTTTAGGTAATTTTTTAACTAAATTCCACTAATACATTATTTTCTGTACAAAATATTCCACAAGAATATGTTTTTGGTCATCAAAAAATCTTTAATGATTTCTCTTGTGTTGTTTTTTTCTTTTCTGCACACCTTAGTTTCAAACACTAGAAGACAAAAGACTAGAAAATGGAATAGTATTTGAGTTATTGATAATAAATCCCTTATTCAATGTTTTAACATAACTTACAAGAGAAGACATTTTGCTCATTGCTTGTATTTTTCCTTACACCCATGAGGCTGGGAAAAATAGTATGCAACTCACAAAATATCCACGTGTACTATACCAGGTGTGTTAAATCATGGAATAAGGTGTATTTATTTAGCTCCTGGTTAAGGTCATTTTTTTTATGTAAATGATTTGATGTTTTGTGCATCACTTTCTTTCACTAGTTTGCACTTAGTAATCAAAGTAATTATTATAATGGAAAAACATTTTCTTTGTTGTAGTAATGTTCCTACATAATTTTTCTATAAAATTTTTAATTGTTTCAGCTACTGGCTTGTTTGAAGCAACATCCATGGTGATGTGAAAGGGAGCTGACATTGCAAGAAATAAAAGAAGATTTTACTGCAAACACCATAATTGTGGGGCAGGCAATGGTGGTGGATGCAGTATTTTATCTACAATAAATTCCTGCCATTTAAATTCTCTTTTCAAGACCTAAAGTAGCAAGCTAGGTCTTGAAGGGTACATTTGGTTATTAGGTGGGTAGACCAGACTATATGTTCGTTAATTCTGAGTGCCATCACATTGTTCCAAAAAAATGCTAATGAAAAGTTAATGTAAAGTAGAATCAAAGTATAAGACATACTGTAAAGGTAAAATAATTAATGTCAACAACCTGTTGTTGTCTCTGGCCTCAAGTTCCCCAGAAGTGGAAACCTTGGAGGAAAAACAAAAGTAGTTTTTCACAGAGGCAGATAACTAAAATAAATGTCTTCTGCTTTGACTCTTTCACTCTCAAGATCTCTTTAGTAATTTTCCTAACTGTCTGCCATACAGTTCTTTTTATGCTAATTTAGAGAATTTGGCATTGGATCAACTGATATTTTAATGTTTTTTCTTTATTCTTATCACTGATCTGCTTGATATTTTATTGATATTGTGAGAAGAAATTCGATCTTGGTCAACAATGGGAGTTTAAAGGTCAGTCTAAGATTTGGACAAAGTGGCTGCTCTTCTACACCACTGAATAGTACATTGTAGCTTGAAATATGGCTGATTTAATGAAAGGAAGATATTGTAGCTCAGGCAGATGTTTTAAGCAATCACTGTATTGTGGCATTTTACAAAATGCCAGCTGGTATCAGGGAGTTGAAAAAAAAAAAAAATTCATACCAGTCAACCTGTAGCATTTAGTTTGCATTTCTTATTCACCATTAATTGCATTTTTTACTAAAAAGTACACTTTCTAAATATGCTTGTAGGGGATTTTGGATGAGGAGAGTTGAAGTAAATAATGGTAATACAAAAATGTGCAATCTGCTGAAGGCAGAATTGGGGGACTAGTGGAAATTGAGAAATAGACAATAATAATTATAGCAATATTAAAATCAGTATTGTTCACCAAAGTGGAGGTGACTAGTGGTGAATATTTACCGAGGTACAAAGCAGTGAGGTTAATTTTAACCACTTTCATCAACACAGGTGTAAATAATTGTTTAATTAGTATGTACACACAGAAACCAAAAAATTAGTTTATTTCTGGCAATTTAGCAAAAAACGGTCGGAAATTAAAGTGCTGGTGTATGATTTTGTCTCTTTGGCTTCTCAGTGGTGGACAGTAATTGATATTCACTTCTGAACCAGCAAATCAACATGTGCAGAAAGCATTATTCGCCTGTGTGGTATATACTAATAGTGATTGTTATCATTAAGAACCAGATGGTGTGCATGGTATTTGTCCCTTGGTATTTTCATGTTTTGGTTTAAAATGTAATTTAAACTTAACAAATAGTTTATACTGTTACAAAATTTACAGTTTACAAAGTTGTACAGTGCAGATTACCAAATGAATATTTATTAAAATGTAAAGAAAATATTCCTAGTTTTGGTTACCTAACTGAAGTTGAATGGTGTTCTTCATGCATTTAACTGATTTTGTTTGCAGGACTGACAAATGGAATTTAAAGGTTTTGTTTCTGAGTCTCAGAGAACAAGTTCTTTTTCATTTGATTTTAGTGTTATTTACAACACCTGTCCCTGGAAAACATAAATTGAAATAAATTTACAAATGAACTAACATTACCAAGAGTAAACTACTAACAATGCACTAATCATTAGCTAATGAACTACCTATTAGTTTACAACGTTACTTGGTGTTTTCTTTGACATCAACCAATCCTAACAATTGGGTGACATTAAAACCTGAAGAAACATTTAATGGTCATTCCAAATTTCCCTGACGACTCTTTGAGGCAGGGGAAGTTGTTTGGCATTCTGTGGCGAAACGGTCTTCTTCACTAAGTCTTTACAGTTTTCCTGAAGAGTATATGGCACTGCAACAAAGTGCAAAAATACGCATTCAGACTGACTTAAATTCTTTCCATTTTACACTTTTCGGTCAGATTTTGCTATGGGCTAGAGGAAAAATTTTAACCCCGTCAAACCATTTGACTAAGAAGTATGGAAGCCTTTAGTGTAGTAGGAAGTGACATGGACTACTTATAAAGTTCCTCTGATATTTCATTTAATTGCCATCCTCTGCACATAACTCAAAGCAATTTGTTTTTACTTGAATGTACACTTCATCAGTCATGTTTAAGAAATTCAGAGTTTCTCTGTATCGCTATTGGGTCATTCCATTGTGAACCTGAAATCCCCCTCCTGTCTGTGGTAGGTTATATGTTTCAAAGCCGATAGAATTTGCAATTTTCAGATGGGGATGTCAGGATTTGAGATTCCGACAAAAAATGGAATTTTTCGATCCTAATTTCGGTTTCTTCCCACTCACCGGCTGAAGTGATGACGACTTCTCTACTAACAATCTCCATCATCTCTCCATCATGCATTTCTCGATATTCGGGGGCTAAAGGATAATAGATCTTTTCAAAGTTCAATAACATTGGCTGGTTCGTTTGTTCGTCAACTGCAATCCAGGGATGAGTAACGTAAGTGTTCACATCGTAAAAACCGTTTGAGGGTTCAAGTGTAGAATAAAAAACCTGGCTTCCCTGATAGTCGAGCCAAAAAACTTTAACTCGACTTCTTGAATGATTGGTGAACCTCACTGGCGTACCAGTTCTCGAGTGTACAGATCTCGGAGAAGCATTTGCAGAGGATTCTGTAACCTCCATCTTGGTTTACGATAACTTTAACGTTCATGTATGATACCACAGATCGTCCCTGGCTCAGAGGACAGGTCTCTAAAGTCAGTCACTTGACTTCCGTTTGATAATCTTTGAAGACAAAATTCTAAGCCGCAATTTCCGGGCGCACTCTTTTCTGCTAGTCGATACAAAATAACAGACTACAAAATCAAGAGAACTTAAAAAGTCGTGTTTTTATTGGGTATTCATTTTCGTAGGGGTTCTTCGTTTTCGTAAGGGTCTTAGGTCTTCGTTTTCGGGGTCTTCGTTTTCGAAACTACCCTCCGGAAGTCAACGTAAAGAGGCAGATGAGAGGCCACCCTGGACAGATCTATGTTGTACTCTCTTGGGAGGGAGGGAGACAGAAAAGTCTCATGGTATCACGGTACCCTGTTCAGAACTCAGTGGCAAGTATGGCTCAATTTTGGAGGCTACGGAACTTTCTCTATGGATTTATCCTTTGGTTGTGTATTTACTATGCCTCTTTTGCGAGTGGTAGGCTAATAAGAAAAGCAGAAGCCCGAACAAATGTTTCGTCTTCAAACTTGACCTTGCAAGAATTGGACCGAGAAATGGACGTGTTGGAACAATGCAAAAGTTTGAAATGCTCGTTCACCATCGATGAAAAATATTGCAAGAAATTCAAGGAGTACGTATACAAAGAAAAAGCACTGGCTATTTTCATTTTCACAGACATTGGAAATTCGACAAGTGACGAAGAAACCACAGGGAAGGCCTTAGACGAGAGTGAAGTCTCAAGAGTGGTGAACAAATCATCTCATGACATTCACGTGAAGCAAAAGTGGGCATGGCTGAGAGACGCGCATGGAAAGTTTCTCGCAACATTACCTTACGACTTCGATATTCTCTCCCTCTCCACGTTAAAAAAGGATGCGTTTAGTATAACTTCTTTTAAACTTACCACGAGGCCTGAGAACTGCTATGCAAACATGTCTGAAACTTGTCTACTAAGTTTTCTTGCGAAAACCATCTATGATTGTCTTGGAAACAGTTCTGGCAGTCTCTGTAAGAGAATGGAACAATATCGACAATATAACTGTTGTGAAAAAATAGACAATGTATATATGTGTGATAAACCCCTGGTGGACAATCAGTGGATTGAAATTGCCATCAGATTTCTCTGGGCTTGCTCAATTGGATTTGGCCTGTTTGCTCCTCTTTTGTTAAAATACTTTCCCAAAGAGTTTAAAAAAGGTCGTAGAATAAGGCCGCAGAGGTCACTGTTCAGAAGAAGTGAATCTGATAAAATGGAAGCTGAAACCTTATCAGTGGATGCATTAGCATTGGGTAAACGGCCATTGATGTTCACTCTAGATGACGGAATGTTAGATGTGCTTCGCACTGAAACAGAGTCTGTGCTTTTCTCCAGATTGAGTCGTTGTCTCTTTGTTATCTTGCTGAGTTCTTTGCCTTTACTGCAAGGTTTCATATACGCATATTTAAAGGAGGGGGATGTGGGAGTTGCAACTGAACCACTGCTTGGGGTTGGAGATGCATTCATCACTTTGATGGAACCAGGTGGAAAAATTGCACTGAGTACTGCATATGGGTTTTGCATTCTGGTAACCTGCATTGCAGTTGCAATCCCTAGAACTTTGTCTGATTGTGCAAGGCGGCTCTCTGGAAGGAGAGATGAACGCACATTCCTTGGTTTTAAGAAACCTGATGAGATTATTAGTAACTCAGACAAGAGAGGGTTCCAGCTGATGTACGAGAACATGGTCTTTCATCTATACTGTCTACTTAAATTACAATTTTGGAAGTTTATACTCCTGGTGATGATCTATCCTCTACTAAAACTCTGTAACGTTGCTGCCTTTGATGAAGACCAGGCAGAGTCAAATGAAAGTGTGGAACAATTGGACGAGGAAGAAAAATGTCAACTATGCTCAAAAATTTGTAAGATAGTGCTAACATTGTTAATGTTTCCCTTTTGGGCCATCACAATTGCCACAGCGTTCCTTCTGTATATTTTCCCAGTTACTTATGTTGGTTTTCGCATCTGGAAAATGCTGTTCAGATTTGAAATAGAATCGCCATGCTGTCAGTCCATCCCCGCGTTCGTGAGGATAACAACTTTTCCAGTGTTATACATCCTGTTTATTGTGTTCTGCATGTGTGTGGAAGCCTCTTATTACATGTTAGCAGTTGTCCTGACATTCAACATCATGTTTCTGGGAAGTGTTGTTGGATTTACAATAATTGGGCTTCTGTTTTACATTGAGTATTTCTTCCCTTACATTGTTCTCAGTTTGTGGGTTATTTTATACATTCTTAGAGGAACAAACAAATATTATGCTCAGTTTACCAACTTAAAGACCATTGTCTTTGAAGAGTGCGAAAAATTTGACGAAGAGACCAGGAAGGAAACCAGCATCCGTGAAACTTTTAGTGGTCCGCCCCCAGATAGAAGATCTCCATCACTTTCTTCCCTTCCAGCGAGCAAGTCAACTTCAGCAATCTTCCTTATCACAGTGGATGATTATGGAGTTCCCAGCATCCCACTAGAGATCTTTCTTGCATCCTCTAAAAAACTAATGCCTTTCAAGCGTATTATACTGGCAAAGCTTTTAAAGGTGATTGCACTGGGAAGTTACCTTGTAGTGATATTCTTGTTTGTTATGTCATTAATGGAATTTAAAACTGTGAATCCCATAGTGCAAGGACTAGCACTGTTATTTCTTGGTGGACTACCCCTGTTGGTTCAGCAAAGCCCACATCATAAAATAGAGGCTGAAGAAATTAGAGCAAGGTTTTATGTCAAGGATTTCATCAAACAGTACACAAAGAGGGCTTTGTAAGTTTTTCTTAGTTACTTTGCAGTAGAAAAGTTTTTAACTGCTTCAATACAAAGATTTAAATATCAATTGTCTGTTCTGTTTACTAAAATTTTAGTATTAATTTGTTGATTCTGAGAATTGCCTGGGAAATTGTAAATTCTCACTTAAATGATATTTTTCTTTCCTCTCATTACCTTTCTACTTGAAAATGTCATAGTACTGTTATGAGAAGTTCCATTTTGGTCACTCTAGATGGGTGAAAGGGTTAAATAAGTCAAAAGTAATGTGATACTTCATTGCATTGCCCTGTGATTTTTCCAGGAAACTCAGAGATTAACAGAGATAAAACAATTGTGACTTGCATGGCCACTCCCATTTTTGTGTTCTCCATGCAGTTTTCTTGTGTTTACTTTGAGTTTTCATTGGCCTCCTGTCATATTCTTTTTTAGGACACTCATTCAAGGGCGTAGCCAGGGGGGGTCCTGGGGTGCCCGTGATCCCCCCTCCGTAGGCCTTCTTTAGAGCAAACAACCTACAATATTCAGGTGGTGAAAACACCATGACAATATCTTGGCCATAAGAACCATTGTTGAAAAGCCCACTTTTTTAAAATTTGTTTTTTTTGTAAAGTATTTTCATCAACAGCTCTTGTATTTAGTTAATATGGGCCTTCATGCCGAGATAATATGACTGAGCCCGCTGATACACGCGGGAGAGCAGCAGTGTAAATGGTGAGTAGCCTCTGTGACCTCCCCCCTCCCTTTGAAAAATCCTGGCTATGCCCCTGTCATTCAAAATACTCTCCAACTTATTCAAAAACAGTATAATTTGCTATCTAACAATTATTCTATGAGTGCGTGTTGGATATGAGATGATAAAAAGCCAACGAGGCGCATAGTGCCAAGTTGACCATAATCATCTCATATCCAACAAACGCGAGTGGAACAATTGTTTTATTAAAAATGCTACATTAAATTATTAAATTTTTAGCTCCCTTTTAATTTTAAGCTTATGCATACGCTTACCATATTGTAGTTTATGGTATAAAATTATTGGCTCATATACCATAATGGCTAAGCCAATGAAAAGTCTTGAATTGCATTATCCAATGATCCAATTTTTAATAAAAGGGGTTAGACAAGCCTCCCATTACTCCCAGTCATCTTATGGCATGGAAACCAGTTTATCTTTCTCACTCCCAATATCTCATTAGCAATTCTCCTTTTCATTAGTTGCTGTTGAGAATTTAGTATTGAATTAATAAGCAGGGATAATGGGGCTCCTGATTAAGTGGTTATCCTGTAATGGTTATCTTGTTTGCTTGATCTTGTATAGCTATAATTGTAAAAGTAATAGTTTGTGGGTAGTCATCGCGGTAAATAACACTTCAAAAGAGAATTATAACATAACCAAAGTAAAGCAGGGGCTCTGATTGGTCAATTCAGTATCCCCCATTTTCCCATGGGTGTACACTGCTGACGTGAGCAAATGCAAAGACTAGTTTTCTGCGCATGCTTGTTTTTTTCTGGTCATGTAAGATCTCTTAAATAAAAGGAAACTCTAGCTACAATGTATCAATGTTATGTTATAAAACAAATGGTAAACACCACAGCGTACACTATTGAGTTATGGATGCACTTGGGAGGTTTGCTAAGCACTCAAGAAGCTAGAGTCGCTCTCGGCTATCGCCTCGAGCGACTCTTACACTTCTCTTGTGCTTAGTAACCTCTCACGTGCATCTATAACTCAATAGTGTATGCTGTGGTGTTTACCATTTGTTAAATATAACTGGTGATTGATATTTGTACACTGTGTAACATATATAGCGCAGTGGTAGAGATGCAGGATAAAGTGCATGAAGGTACGACTCACCTGAGAGCAAACTTTGGCAAATGATTATTGTACTCTAATGGTTTGATGCAGGACTCATCACATTTTACTTGAGGCCTCTTCTTACTGTCACCGAAAAAAAGATCTTCCTTTTGTGACTCAAAAAATCTTACTCTCACCTTTCCAAAACTATAAACAAGAATTTGCATAAGCTGTTATAATCCTCTTTTTACTGCGTTCACCCACAAGATCCCATTATCAACTCTCCCTACTTTCTGCCATACAATTGTTATGATGTTACTTCAGAGAATTTGAAATTGGGTCAACTGATCACTCCCTATTTGATATTTGTCTGTCTTCTTATCTCTTGTCTACTTGATATTGAAATGGTATTGTAAGGAGAAATTCTGTCTTGGTCATTCATGATGTCAAAGGGTTAAAACTGTCATACTATTTGAGAAAATACTTTATTATATGGCTGTCTCACAAGGACTGGGAACTACCAAATTCACGAATTTGATTGGCTGAAATCAGTATTGAAAGCAGTCCATCTAGACTGGTCTAGAAAAAAAAGGTACAAAGAATATAATGTTCCGTTGCTTTCTAGACAGCCATATAATAAACATATTATTAACCGATAGGTTGGTCTGTATGGGAGAATCTTGACCTTGGTTGCTGGTACAGACCTCACTGCATTCGGTCTGTACTGGCAACCTCGATCAAGATTCTCCCATACAGACCTCCCGCTCAGTTGATAAGAACTAGGTATGCACAAAGAATTTCCTCTGAAATCACTCTCACAGAGTTGTAGTGAAGAGCACCGTTTAAGTTATTCTTATTACTTTTAAGATTCTTCATGGACTTTCTCTGGTCTATTTGTCTTCCCTGTTACAAGAATATCATCTACCACATACTCTACGTTCATCTTCCAAATCACTTCTTACTGTCCCCACTATAAATTCTGTGACATACGGTGAACGTGCATTGTTCTGTGCACATACATAATGGAATACTCTTCCTGATTGTCTTAAATCTGCAGCTCCTCTTTTGTCTTTTAAATCTGCCTTTAAAACATTCCTATTCCAGAAATTTTATTTTTAGTATTGTGAATCACTACATAGGTTTTTATCCCATTTAACTTTATTTTTGTTAGTGTAGCTAGGTACTACTGACTGTTAGTATCATTGTTATGTTTTATTTTTATTATGCTATGTAAGAGCACTGAGATTCTTAAATGCACTCATAAAAACCTTACTATTATTATTATTATTATTATTATTATTTATTGGCTATTGTTAGAAACCTATTTGCTGGTTCCCTCTCTTTTTGTAACCTTATCTATGAAAGGATGGAAAGATAGATCCACAAAGTAGTGAGGTTGAAAAATATTGGGCATGTTTCTCATTATTTACTAGATTGGTTAGATTGTTTGCTGTTGTCCAAAGCTTCTGTTTTGAAATGGTTAAAAATTTAAGGTCTTTGTCATAAATTATGAATAAACTTAAAATTTAAATGAAGCAATCTCATTTCCACTAATCTTGTTAGTTGGTTGTCTCTGGAATTCAGAAGTGGCCAGCGTTGATGGTTCAAAAGTGTGTTGGTTCATGTTGATTAATTTCTTTTTTCTTATATCGTTAATTCATACTAAAAGTCTGTTAGGTAAGAAACAATAAACAGGGGTGGATCCTGGGGAAAAGTTTAAGGAATGGGCACCCCCCCTCAAGATGACCTCCAGTTTTTTATTATAACTTTACAGTAATACAAAATGTGATGTATGGTTTGCTATGTATTCTCAGCAGTTCACATTATTTCTTAGTCATAAGCCCTCTTTTTTGCTCACTTTAAAATTTGCTTAACATCACTTGTCTGTTACATCATTCCTTAGAAATGTACTCCCTCTTAGGAAAAATCCTGGATCTGCCCAGGTTAAATATTAATATGAACAGAGCATGCACCACAGAAATTATTTCTTGCAAGTAGGTTAACAAATTTGTGAAAGAGATTAAAATTTATGTAATTTATATCTGTAGGTAATGAATAATAGTTACTTTGTTTTAAGTATTGATGGTATTTTAAGTCTGGCTTTACATTTTCATCTAGTAGATAATTTTGTTTGCATTAAATTAGAAAAATTTGTAATGTCATGTTCCACAATCAGAGGTTAGTTTGTAGGTAGGTTTGGGTTGAAATAAAAGAATTTGTAATTGTTATTCTGTGTCTTTTCTTATTGCAACAAATTAAAGAATGGAATACGTACCATGGTTCTAACGTAGCTATGCTGCTATGCTCAAATGGCTACAACGTTGCTATGCTCAAATGGCTACAACGTTGCTATGCTGGCTAGGGATACAATGATTAGAAGTTTTGAAAAGAACCAAAAAAGTTGTAGAATTCTGGTTCGCAGGTCTGGCGCAATTCATTTTCAACCCGCGCTTTTTGAACAGAAAGCAAACCCAGCATTGCGTCTCCCTGGCATGGATTGGCCTAAACGTTACCTCTTCGGTAGCTTTTCCAAACCGGAGGTGGACGAGAAGGAATTGGAAAGGAAAAAGACCTCTCTAAACCAAGGAAACCTGGGTTCCAATTAATGATCAGCAAAATGGCGGGAGGTTGGCTAAGAACTAGGTGAAACATTCTTAGATGGGCGTGAATAATCTCTGGGGTATTTTAGAACCTGCTAAGAGAAAAGAAAACCTCTCTGCCCTCCGCAACAAGAAGCTTTGTGTGGACTTAAGTGGATGGATTTGCGAAGCTCAGTGCGCAAAAGGTTTGAAACACAACGTGAATAAACCGCACCTGAGAAATCTTTTCTTCCGATTGCTTCAATTGATACGAATTGGAGTCAAGTTGGTGTTTGTCGTGGATGGAAAACCACCTGAAGTGAAATGGGATGCAATCGCGAAGCGAGTTCAAGCGAGAGATGGCGGGCAGTTCGGGAAGGTCAAGAAATCTGCTAAATCCAGCGCTGGCTCGGGAGCTCGTGTCGGTCGATCGCAGTTTGCGAACTGGGTTAGAGAGGTAAGATAATGATCATCTCTTTTTTTTTTTTTTTTAAGTTTACATTTTTTGAAAAGATTTGTTTTTGTTTTATGTCCGAATGTTTCTTATTTTGTGGCTGATATAGCCCGCAGAACCGGTTTGATTTTTGTGCGTTTTCAGGCGGACGGAGGCGCGCGCGTGGGGTAGAGCGCGAAAAATGTTAACCCGTACTTCGCGCTTGCCTCCGTACCGTTCGCCTGAAAACGAAAAACAAAAAAAAACAAAACAAAAAAAGAAGCTGGTTCTGCAGGCTATGCCTGAGAAGAACTGCAAATCTCCTTTGAAGGTCTCGGTTAGTGTTATCAGCCTCAGCCTTCGGCTTCGGCAGATAACACTTACCTCGACCTTGATTATTCCGGATATCACAAAAACCTCATCTAATAATTGTTTATAATTGGTT